AGTTGAACTATTGGTTGTTTTATTCTCTCGGTAAATTACAAATGCATGACAAATAAACATATTATAGACATATGGACCGGATTCTTCTCCAATATTGTGTTCAGGGTTGATACCATATGTGGGTGGTTGGTGGGTGCTCTTGGGCGGTGTGCTGCTTCTTTCCTTTCAAACATCCATCGTCCTTATCCCTCTTCCTTTTTTTCTTTGTAGCGTATGTTGTTACCCTAGTAGTAACAACTCTAATCTTGGGCACTTTCATAATCTATTTGTGTTGCAAGGTCCTCAAAACGCTTACAAAAATTCGGAAAAAACCTGTTGTTACGGTACTGAAGAGAGTGTCTTTCTCGTCCTATTATTCTTTACTCCAAGGTATAAGAAGATAGTTGGAGGCGTCACTAGAGGTCCTACATCTTTATTCCCCCTCTGTTGTGTCTGCCTGTCTTGCTTTTTTGTTGCACTGTATGACCGTTATTAGGTCTATGTGCTTCTCTTTACTCAAATTCCAACTCCTATGGTGCATGTATGGGTTTGACACCCCTGAGGACAATCTAAAGTTATTCAAGAAGCAAGAAGACCTCTGAATAATTTTTCCGTCCCAAATGAGACTGATCCAAGAGGATAAGGGGAGGGGGGGGCGGGGTGAATTTTGAGCACTTTTCCAAAACCAGCGGTGTCAAGAACACATCGGTGGTGGAGTCGGTAGTCTAGGGGTTAGGCTTCCGGACGCGTCGTCTCGTTTTTGTTTTTTGTATGTTACATCAGATCAGTAACACCTCAAATTATCAGCATTTATATATGGCTTATTTGTGTTGCAAGTGCCGTAAAACGCTTACCATAATAGATCTGACATGGGTAAACTACGGCGCATGGGTAGGATCCGAAAAATCAGAAGCTATAGACCTTTCGGTAGACGGCATGATAGAGAGAGTATCGTGAAGGAAATAATAGCATAGACTCTTTGATAATAGCAAGCAACTTGTACTTGTACTTGTAATGATCACACGTGACAAACGCCACAACTCGCCGCAAACAGCAGATCCTTTACCTTCTTTGAAGTTGGATGCTCATCTGCCCTAACATAATACGTGTAATCATGTTATGATTAGGTGTTAAACCCTATGGTTTCGCTTTTGACAATGGCCTTCCAGTTCAAGCGCTAGATTCTATTCTTTTTAAGAAGAATTTTCAACAAACAGATCATTTGAGGTCTGTTGGTTCAGTGCCAGTGTCGGGGTTTGACCGTCTTGGTTTTCTTGCTTCTCTGACTGCCTCTGCTATCCAGGTTCAAAGTCTCTCTCTCTCTCTCTCTCTCTCTCTCTCTCTCTCTCTCTCTCTCTCTTCCCTCTCTCTATATATATATTCTCTCTCTCTCTCTCTCTC